GCAGGCTCATGACCTTGACAGGCCCTTCCTAGATTACCAACCTTCTTCCAGTACCTGGCTCTCAAAGATGCCAGAGCTGTTGCTCCTCACTACAGTCTCTGCATGAGCCCCAGGCCACCTCAATGATAACAGGTCACAGTGAAGTCCCACTTGTAAGGTCCTACCCAGCTAGACTTCTCCCCTTGGCAATGGGCTTTCACAGTCTCTGAAGGAGAGTTCAGTTGGTTCCCAAGCCCTCTGAATTGGCCAATAAGGCCTCATCCCCTCTAGCCAATAGCACCATGAAAAGCCTGGCTGCCACACCACTTTTCTCAGGTGTGCTTCTCATTCATGGAAGTAACTTGCACGCCTCATCTTCTCGGGCTAACTTTAGGAGCTGGAAATTAGGAGATGGTCAGAACTGAGAGGGGGAGTTTTACTTGGAGAAGCCCTAGCATTTGCCTGAGTCTTAAGCCCCTTGTGGTCAAATTCTCCATACCAAAATGCTCAACCTCAGAAGATATTCAGGCCAAGTGCTTGTGCATTCCACCATAGGCATCGCAGTGTTGTGCACTTCTGAGAATGGAAGTGACCTTGAAGCCAGGCTCCTCAACCAGAACAGCAGTGTGTGGCTACTGCTGCCATTTGTGTGGCATCTCAGTGGCATGCCCTAACTCATGTCCAAATGCTCCCACACCTGGGGCTCAAGCAGCAGCCAGCATATCCTGCACATACTATTGCCAATCATTTGCTTCAGTAAAAACAGGGGTAACTTCCTCAAGGGTTCTGAAGTCAACTTTTTAGGTTGATGAGAGGAGGTTCAGACTCTGAGCAAGATTCTCCAACTAAAATGGGGCCTACTTTTCTCCTTTCTGGAATAAGGTCAAACTTTTAAAAAATCTATTCTTACTGGCAAGTGAGGATTTTACATCACTTTTGATGCCTTCCTGTGTGCATCCTTGCCACCAGCTAGCTACAAAAGACTGCAGCAACCCAGATGACTGCTGAGCATAAGAGAACCCTGATGACAGTCTAGCCACTCTGCCAGCATCTCACCCCCACCCTCAGACCATTTTTCCTCCTTGGGGCTCCAAGTGTCTGGGCTCTGTACCTCCTTCTCCCCCTCTTTCCTTCCTTCATCACTGCCTACACTTGCCCCATCGCCTACACATCAGAAGTTCTAGGTTCTTTGATTTTTCTCACAATAAACCTAAGTCAGTGGCTAATGATTTAGACCCTGGGTTTTAATGAGCTATAGGGAAGAAAGATGTTTTCATTCTGTCCTGGGGAAAATTGCTCTTGGCATGATTTGTCCTACTGACTACAAATGGAGAAAAGACAAAAGAAACTGTGTCTGATTTTTCTTTAACTAGAAATCACAAAGACCATGAACTTAGGTCCAGAGAAGGGAAAACAAAATGATCGAGGGAGTGATGCCAAACTTCACTCTGAGTCTGAGAAAGAGAAGTACACGTATTACAAAGGCGTCACAGGTCCACCTCTGGAGCTATCCTTTAGCTAATCCTCTCCCTTTGCTGAGACAGTGACATTGCTGGGTACAGCCTCTGCTCTGCCACCTGCTACGTGATTGTGGCTGATTTCAGACTGATCTGCAAACATGTGAATAATAATGTCTACAAACACTTTGCTAGGGGTAATTAAAGAATATAATAAATGTGAGAGTACCTATCAGACTGCTCACAGCATAGCTGAGGCTAAATATTAGTTGTCTTATTTCCTTTATTTTAATTAGTGCATGACACATTCATTCATTTGCTAAGGATGTCATTTCACAGGCAGAGACTTCCAAAGACCTGCTGATTTAATCTCCCTGTAATTAAGGCTCCTTCTCTGTTCAAAGTCAAATGCTGCTTTTAAACCTATGAGTCTGACTGCTCCTCTGGCTTCTACCCATGTGTTCTTCCTTCTTGACCTTCTATTCAGAGGACTGCTTTAAAAAAATCTGACTTTAAGGAGATTGCCTCAGTTTGCCCTCTACTGCTTTTTTTCTTGTTCTTCAACCCCACATACAGAAAGGCCTGAGCAATAAGATCAAATGATTTGCTTCAGCCCTGGCCCCTACATGAATTCCACATATAAGGCCTAAGCTTATCTTAGCTATCTAGTAAATGTGTGACATGCACATGCATTAAGAAGCCTAATAGTTTGATGGGTAGAACACTAGACTTGTGGTAAAAAGCCCAAGTTCAAATTCTTGATATGGCACTCATGAGCTATATAACCCTAATTCACTTACTCTCACCAGCCTCTGTTTACTCAGCTATGAGGCAGAGGTTTTGCAGTTGCTTACTCCTACCTCAAACCAGGGTCAATGCGCTTCTATGCTCATTCCTCCTCAGAAAGGACAAGCACTGACAGGGAGACTGAAAAGAAAAAATCTCGGGACACAACAGGATACCCAGAGAGAACTGAAGCACAATAAATATAATGCAATGTAAGAAAATTCATTCTTCCTTGCATACTCTGCCTTCCCCATCCCTTCCTCATGGCTGATTCTGCTGGATCTGTCCTTCACAGCTGGCCAGGGAATTCCTCCTGCTCTGAGGTCACACAGGAACTGGCTGGGGGAGGGAATGCCAAAGGAAACACAAAGGCTTAGGACAGATTAACACAGTGAGAAACTGGCTTCTTCCTTCCATTGATGGAGTAATGAGAGCCAAATGGACAAAGTCCATGTTGAGGCCCAGGGAAAAAAAAGAACAAAGGCTGGAAAGTTCAAACCACCTTCAGAAAGAGAAAAAAGAAATGCCTGAAGGTCACATGGGACCCAGCCTAGCCATTAAAGAAAGTAAAGAGACAGAAACGGGGCCTTGGAGAATGAACAGAAATGAGAAGTGAGTTACTAGAAGGACTGTCCTAATGATGCTGGGAGCAGGAGCAGCCATAGTAGTTGGCAGTTCAAAAAGTGAGGGATTTGAGATTCTGGCTCTATTTTTAAAACTGGTAAAAGAGAACTACATAAAACGTACTATCTTAACTACCGTTAGTGTATAGTTCAGTGGTTTAACTCACGTTACAGGACTTTTTTTCATCTTACAAACCTCAAACTCTATCCCCATTCAATAGCACCCGTTCCCCCTCTCCTCCCAGCCCCCAGCAACTACCATTATACGTTCTTGTCTCTATAAATTTAACTCAAACTGTTTGGCAAACAGAATAAGCATATACAGAGGAGACAAATCTGTGGGACGGGTTCACTGGGCAACCAATAGTGCAACAGTAGCTGCTTCTTAGAGCCACAGTAGTGTACAGAGATGATGAATCTAAGATTGGATAGGATTTGATAATTACAATTTAGTATTTGCATGGATAGAAATCACTGCCACTCCACTCTCAGAAAGGACCAGGGAATGGTTACTACAAATTATACAAGCTTTTCAATGTTCAGGCTTTTGACCTTGTAGCACTGGCACTGGTGGCTGATCCAGTGTTATTTTGAAAATATATGCAATTAATGGCTAATATCAAATTTGGTCAGTGGCCTCAGCAAATACCCCTAACTTCTAGGTACCCTGGATGGAAATATGAACAAGACTGAACTAGAAAAGCAGAACACATGAACACTTTTTTATTAGCTGGCCCTGTGAATCCAATCCTCAATGCAGCATTCCCTATGTGAGGATATATCACATGAACTCTTTTTCCTTACATCAGTGGCAATTTTGAGCTTGAATCAAAGTATATACCAACATGAAAAGGAAAATACTAGGCCTAAATATTCAGTCTCACCAACCAAAATACAGAAGGCTAGCCGAGGGCACCCAAGTTAGAAAAGGAGAGAACAGGGTCAGGAGGAGAGAAGAGAGAACATTTGCCATTATGCCAAGGTTTCCAAATTGCCCCCGGATTCCAAATAGGGTAGTTGCCTGGAAACCAATCTAGCACAGAGAAAAGGGAGAGTTGGTCAGGCTCTATTTAGGAGCAGCCCCAGCCTTACCACTTGGGCCATGTAAAGCCAGAAAAAAGAAAAAACACCACACATACACATGAGCTTAGCCTCCTAACTGCATACAGGAACTAGACTCACTTAGGACAGAGGCCACTGAAATGTCCTTTACCTTACAGAGCCAATCCTCCTCATTGGGTAGAGAAGTCACGTCAGGGAAGGAAGAAGCCCAGAGCCTGAGAAATCAACCTTTGGCAGTGGGAGAAATGGTGAGAAATCACATGCTCCCCCTGGAAACCAAGGGTTTTCCCTTCCTTTGTCTTGTTTCCTAGCTATGCACAGAAATAATGTACAATTTTATGATGTATGTGAAGCAGAGATAACCAGACTGCATGTTCAACTAGAAAATTCTGGATTCAGGCAATGACCAAATAAAGATGAACAAATACCCAACGTATATAAGATACATGTTGTCTTATTAAGTGAAAGGGGGGGAAACTAAGTAAGGAATGATCACAACTCCAAAGGCTCAAACAAAAACCCAGACAACAAAAAAAACTTGTGCTAGAATCACAACAGCACTTAGAATCAAGTTTGCACAGAGACTATCATAAAACCATAATCCCCAGATAAGAAGACTTTCAGGAACTAATATTTAAGGAAAAGGCTTTGGAAAAAACAGTAGAAATGTACAGAGCAACAAATATGGCTCTAAAAAAAAGTTTTAGTATCTCAGTGAAGATAGGAATAATGAGAAAGAAAAACAGAATGGTATGAGATCTAAAAACCACATTGTAAGGTCTCTAAGATAGCAGAAGAGAACGAGACAAGTAGACTGAATTTTAATAACCAATGGTTTACATGAAAAGAAAATGACGCTCCTGAGAAACAAGAAAAGAGATGGGACAAAGATGCTTCTGCCATCTGAAGGTGGTCCAAGAACAAGAACTCAAAAGCCAGACAAAGGCAAGAATTAAAGGAAGAACATGAGGCAGAGGGGAGTTTCATCCTCACTGACCCACAAAGGGCACATACTTAGAAAAAACACCTCAGTTTAAAATACTCAAAGGGGATTCTCCATCTAGGAAAATGGTGAAACAAGGGGAAAACTTACCACAGTGATGTAAGTCCAAACCCCCAAAACATTCCAGAAGAAGAGGCAGAGACAGGATCCACAGTGGCTGAAGGGCTACAAAAGCCTTAGGATCCTGCTGGATGGGAGAAATGCAGAAAAAAGTAGGTTTATATTATTGAGAATTTAGGATCACAAAGTCGTCGAAGAACTACCTAATATAAATGCAGGGTCCCAGCTCAGAATCTGGACCTACCTACATCTGGAATTTATATATGGAGGACCAAAGAGATGAGAAAACCTGAGAAACCATGGAAAGGAAAATCCAGGAAATCTGCATAACCTCTTCCAAGAGACAAGAATCCTAATATCTGGGTGGCACCTGTGGCTCAGTGAGTAGGGCGCCGGCCCCATGTACCAGAGGTGGCAGGTTCAAACCTGGCCCTGGCCGGAAAAAAAAAAAAAAGAATCCTAATTATCTTCATTAGCCGTCAATAAGAACTTCATCCAAAGTTACAGGTGTTAAGATGACTGAACTCAGTTTTTCACCGATTTTCCAGTCTCTACAAGTACTGAAAGAGCACAAATAGGACTCAAACAGTTTCATGTCCTACTCTACCACATACCTGCTGTGTAACCTTCACCTAAGAGGTTAAGAATGGAATTATGTAGATAATAACAGTTACCTTATTAGGTAGTCTAAGGACTAACTAAATTAATATTGTGAGGAGTACTTAAAATAATGCCTGGCAAATTTCAAGGACTGAGACTAGCTATCACTATCATTGTTTTATTTATTCCATCTACGACCTCCTTCCTCTGCTATATTCTACAACTGCTCAGAGTACTGAGTATAGATTTCAAGATCTATTTTTAAGCTTGAGGAACTTCACTTTCTTTGAGAGGCATGATGACATATTAGGGGATGTAGACATCAAATAGCTGCCATCTTCGTATCTGTATAGAATGTGTTTTTCTGTATGTCAATCTGGGGACAGTGCTGAATTAGTTATGTCTACATAGCTCCCTGGAACTTTGGAGGAATGGAATGAGGTTAGAATTACCCAGCTTGCTAACAATTATCTGAAGTTCCTATGTCATCTTCAGCAGAAGTCACTAACATGAGAAATAGAGGACTACACAGGACTGCACTGTGAGGGACTAAATAAAACAGGAAGAGAACAGAAAAGTGAAAATGCTTTCAACATATTCAGGGATTTTAGGTTGTCTATAGAAAACAAGGGCTGATTTAGAATGAAGGCCATTAGCAGGACGTATTTTAAAGGGCAAGAATACAATTGGAAGAATTTTTTTTTTTTTTTTTTTTTTTAGAGACAGAGTCTTACTTTTTTGCCCTTGGTAGAGTGCAGTGGAGTCGCTCCAGCAACCTCCAACTCCTGGGCTTAGGCGATTCTTCTGCCTCAGCCTCCCAAGTAGCTGGGACTACAGGTGCCCGCCACAACGCCCGGCTATTTTTTGTTGCCGTTTGGCCAGGGCTGGGTTTGAACCCCCCGGCCTCGGTATATGGGGCCGGCTCCCTACTCACTGAGCCACAGGCGCCTCCCAACTGGAAGAATTTCAAATGGCTATGGTATCGGCTGGGTTCTTTCTCCCCTTCAGAACTATACACACCAATTATAATGCCTGCTGGTCTATAAATCCTACGAACAGGAACTGGCCCAGCTTTAAGGTAGGCCTCAGTGGCCATGGGCCATAGGACTATTTATGAGACCAAGTACAAACATTTAATCCAAGAGCTTAACTGCAACCTTTGCTGTAGCTTACAACAATAGTAACAATAAAATCAGGTTCTCTCAGAAACCTAACCAATACTGAGAACAGGTGCTTTGCTGTGAGAGGAGGCTGAGGGCTTACAATGTGCAAACAGACTATAGAGGTCATGAGTGATCTCAGCAATCTAAGTCATGAAGAAGCAGACTCTAAAGGATTCTAAAACAGAAGCTCAAAGGTAGAAAAAGGATAGACACAGTAAGGAAAAACAAGCCAGATGGTAGGAAAAGGAGAAAGACACAAAGAAATGAGAGATGCCACAAGAGACCCCACTGTGGGAGAGACCCCTCCCTGGCAAAGACCATGGCTTGTCTCTGCACTGCCTTAGTTCCTCACCGGTCTAGTCCATGTGTCCTTACAACATAATTCCTTTTTCTTAAAACGCTCTGAATGAATCTCTGTTCCGTCCAACAAAAAAAATCCCTCACTAAAATAGTTACTTCAACTCCTCTTCAGGATTAAGTTCTCCCAGGAGGTTCCCTGGTGCTGAAACAGACAGATTCCTGGCAAATCTTCCCCCACCAGACACGTCTAGACATACCCGAGGCCTGCTTCCCAAAAGAACAGGGGTACAGGGGCACAGTCCCTTAGAGATTATAAACAAAAATGAGATCTGAAAAAAGATTTACTGGATGCAAAATATGAAAAGAAAATTGCAAAATCAAAGTTAATAAATATTAAATGTCTACAACTAGATATTCAAATGAAACTTAACTCACAAAGTTTCATATACACTAAATTATGTGGGATGTGTGGGTAATTTTTTTTAATGTTTGATATGACATAGGAAAGGCCTCCAAAGTTGAAAGAGCTTAAGGTCTTCAAACTAGTCTGACAGCAGTGGACATGCTGGGCCTAAGCTAGATCCTGCCCACCCCAGCCCTTTCATGAGCACATACTTTAAATACTCAAATCCTGCCTCCCAAATTTAAACATACTATTATTTTAGCACTTCTGATAATAGGAAATCTATTATCTTTTCTTAGTTAAGTATTTTAAGTAAGTGAAACCAAGTAACTTCTATTAGCCATCTTACTAGTTTTACCAAAAGAAAATGTCAATCATGATAACAAATGATCCTATATATTTAAGGGATTTGACCTTTGACATCTGTAAAAATAAATCAAAAAATGGTCAAATTTACTGTTTCCTTCTGCAAGAACGCCTCAAATGTCACAGACCTTAACATTTTCTTCCATTTCATCAGATCCTCAAGCTAAGAAAAACAGGAGGTGGCACACAAGTTATATAAACTTAAATCTCATACCCTGATAGTGTTAAAAACAAAAACCAAACCTAATTCTTTTCTAAAGTCACTGTTGATTGAGTTGTTACAGCTTTAATCTTTTATGTATGGACAAGCTCCATTTGTTCTCTGGAACCATGGTCTGTCTGGCTATGGTCCCTTCCATCTCCTCACTTTCACTCAACTCCCACACCTCTTATGCCCCCTACCCACCCCACCTGTCTTCACCCCTTCTGTAAAAACAGTCTCAAAGTTGTGATCTCCCCTTGTCAAATCTGAAGGCCATTCCTCACATCCCTCTCTGACTCCTGGTTTATATAAGTCTCCTTGGCCCCCAATCCCTGCACATTCTCACTTCTGCTCTGGCCTTGTGGAGTCCATTTATCATTTCTTTGATGCCTACTTTCAAAATACAGGTATCCTCCAAAGGCATGTCCTGTCTCCATTCCTTAGCTCTACTGACGGCTTAGTTTGCAATCACTACTTCCGTGATTATAATACCACATTCTCCTATCACCAGTCTTTTACCCCAGCTGCCTAGTGGAAAATTTCCCCATCATCCTACAATCGACTGGAACCATTATGTTACCATACTTAGAAGTTCCTGTAAAAAGCAACTTCTCCCTCAATAAATCTCTTCCGTAAAGAATGTCAAAGCCAATTCTCCCCCCCCACACACACTTCAATGTTTTTCTCTCCCTGTGTTTGTCTTTTCTTTTCAGCATTTAAATGCAAAACAAGAATCTCAACATACCTTAAGAGAAAACAGCATTTAGCCATGTCTTCTACAGCTGCGATGTATATACCACTACCACTCTTTTTTTCCCCTTCCAGGCTTCTCAAAGACTGACTTCCCCTGCCTCACTTCTCATTCATGTCTCAATCCACTGCCACAATGATGTTCCTATCAACATCTGCTTTCTTGTGACCAATCCAAGGGCATTTTTTGTTCTTGATCTCACTGGATGCTACTGGCCACATGCCTTGGCTCCTTCTGACTCCATAGCCTCTGTTACACTCTCACTGTATAAGCCATATTCTCAGCCTCCTTGGTCCGTCCTTGTTCCTCTGTAAACTTTACTGGCATACTCCAGAGGGCTCCATCTCCAACAGTTTCAACCACCTCACCCAGTGTTTCTGATCTCTGGCTATTAACGAAAACCCTTGTTAGGAGACTGATTCAACTGTGCAGAATGCCTCCAGAGGGCACTCAAACACCTGCTCAGAAACCTGGATGGGATCTTCATACTAACGTCTCAGAACCCAAAATGAATTGCATTGTGGATTACTTCCTCTGATTGCCTAGCATCATGAAAATCTATACAACCTGTTTTGTACAGGTTCCCTGATTATAATTCTGAGTCTAGTAGGGCCTCATCACAAGGCCATAATGCTATTATAATGTGAAGATGCAGTGGTAAGTTATTAGATATTGATCAACTGAGATACCGATCATGTTTTCTAGCTTATGCCTGGTACTCCGAATCAATGAAATATTCTTAAACCCTATTAGGCTCAATCTTAAATGTATCTGAACTACACATCCTAACCTGATTCTGAAAGGCAGAGGGCATTAATATTTACTCTGCATAAAGGTTCTAATTATTTTTATGAATTGTTTTATTGTTAACTTAAGTGTGAGAATTCATCTTCTTTTGGATAGAGGTCTGCCCTGGCTACAAAGGCTTCCTTACAAGTTATCACAATATCATAGAAGGAACACATAACAAAGTAAGATGTGGAAATAAACTATGATTATTTTATGAACTTGCAGGGGCATGAAAAATAAATGAGCTCTAGAATAGCTTTACTGAATTTCTTACATCAGGTGACAGATGATACTGCATATTCCAGAGTATACAAATGTTTTAATATTAAAAGCAATATAAATTATGCTTTTAAAAAATTAAACTCTGAATGCTTCTGCTACATCTCCAAAATTAAAGTTTAAAAGAATAAAAAAACACCCTCTCTTCAAGTTTCTTACAAATGAATATCTACCATAGCCACTGGTTATCCATCTTAGGAATCTCCCATGGGAATCAGCTGTGACACTACTTTCCACCTACGCAAAAGGACTTCAATTTGCAAAATTAGTTTCA